GGCTCGGGCTGCGCAGACGGGGCGAGCGCCTGCACTGGGGGGACGGCAGCAGCTACAGCTCCCGGTGAGTGCCGGGGAGCCGGGCAGGGCCTGGGGGCACAGGGGCACAAGGGCTTCTCCTGGCAGCCAGCGCTGCCTCTGCTCCTCCCTGCAGGGTTCCCGTCTTTAACAATTCCGAGTGCGTGTACCTGGCTGACAGGAGATTGAGGAGTGAGAACTGCTCAAATCGGCGTCTGTATCTCTGCAGCAAGGCCCAAGCTCCCCTGTAACAGGGGCTGCACAAAGGACCTTCTCCACGCTGGGCAGTGCCAGCTTCACCTCTGAGCCCAGCACAGCGCTGTCCTTCCTCTGCTGTGCCCTGTGCCTTGCACTTCCTCTCAGGGTCACCTCAGTGCCTCTTCATCCCCAGTGCCAACACTGGGCTGGGGCTGCAAAGGAAAAGTCTCTGCAATCCATCCTGCCACCGATGCTGCCGGCAGTGAGTGTATGCCCTCATATGTGGGTAACACACCACTCTGTTTACAAGTTTCATGGAAGTTTATTAAGGGATAAAATCCCACATTTGGGTGCTTGTCTCTTTGCACACAGTCCACTTGAACTGTGTTCTGTATATATTGTTTCGTTACAGACTTTTATGCATATTCATGACAGTTTATACATGTTGAAACATTCATTTGAGTTAACATATTCTTTTGCTTGGTTTGAACCTTTGACTTGTCTTCCTTCCATCTTATTGATTAAATGAATATATTCTATTTTTTCTTGTGTTTCTGTATTGTATTTTCATTCCCTGATAACAAGGGTTCATAAAGTCTTATTTTTGATTCTCTGGTTTCCCTTTCTATGATCTTGTCTTTTAGATAAGACAGTTCCCAAAGTTGGGAAGTCAATTTTTTTACACCATTTGCTGCATTAGTTCCATGAAAAAGTAATTTCAACATTTCACAGTCTCTATTAAGCTATGGTCTAAGATAGAATACATGACACCACTATTTATAGAAGCTATAGGGTGCATAGATAAACTGACAGTTTATACTATATCAAAATCAGGAATTACAAATTGCACTGTATCAGGATTTTGTGATCAACTGTAACTTGCAACACAAAAGTTAGTACATAAATGTGAAAGCCAATACCTATATTTCTTATTTTTAACATCACACAACAAACTCAATTGGGAACTCAAAGCACTCTGGGCTCTTGGAAATCATCATGAAGTGGCCTGAAAGTGAGAATTTTGGACTGTCCTTGGAAGATGTGAGGAAGGACCTTCACTTTTAAAATTTGAAAGGTTAATTAAACCTTAAGAAAAAAATACAACAACAGACTGAATAAGGAAAAATTACACCACTGGGGATCTCTGTGACTGTCAGCCACGGGCTCGTTTACAAAATGGATGCTCGGCCTTTTATACCCTCAGCCCCTGCCAAAGCTTAGTCAGTCAGCTTCTTCTGGAGGGAGAAATCTGGGACAAAGTGAAGCCCAGGAAGGAGAGAACAGTGTGGAGAAGGTGCATTTTTAGGATTTGGTGTACATCTCACTCCCTTGCTCTGATTTATTTGATAATACATTCAATAAAATTTAATTTCCCCAATCCAGGCCTGTTCTGCCCATGATGGGTGAGAGATCTCTGGCTGCCTTTCTTGAGAGCCCCGAGCCTTTCCTGCTGTGTTCTGTTGCCTGCCCAGGGGCAGCAGCAGAGGCTCAGAGCGCTTTTGCTGGCCCCGGGCACCTGGCCTGGCCCAGCCAAGCCCAAGAATCCCTGCCAGCATTCCCTGCACCATTACCCGGCCCCACGGCGGCTGCGGCTCCGCGGGCAGGCGGCTCCAGGAGTTCAGAGTGGGCAAAATGGGAGCGAGGGACAGGAGGCAGCTGGTGCCAGTGGGGGAAATGGCTTTGCTGGAACTGGCAGGGACAGGAGGAGGAAGGAGAAAGTACTGCAAAGTAAAGGGGGGAGAAAGAGGGACAAGGTGGTGGGCATGGCCATGGGGCAGGCAGGCATTTTGCTTTTAAGCTCTGTGGGGGAAAAGGAAGAGCTGTCAAATCCATCCAGGAAAAGAGGGGAGAAATAGTAAGTGGTGGAAATCACCAACAATTGGGATTCATTTGATCTGCCTGAACTGCAAAAGCCAACAGTCTCCAAGCACCACCAGCGCTGTGATGTGCCTTGCCCTGCCCCTGCCCTGGCTGCAGCAGCCACCTGTTGGGACGGGCCCTGTTCTCTAAAAGAGCTGCACCCAGGCACCATTGGGGCAGTGCTGGGTAAGAAGTGAGGAATGGCAAAGGGTGGGAAGTGTCAAGGGAATAAAATAGAATGGTATAAGAAAAAATGATAACAGAACTGCACCAGGAATGGCCACCAACTGCTGTCACCAAAAGAGCTGCACTGAGGGACGGCCACACATTTCCGTTCCCACACAGAAATGGTGGGACTTGCCTTCTCCTTAATAACCATCAGTGGCATTTCCAAGGCCAGCAGGTACACTCAGAGATGTCCAGAATCTTCATTACATTGGGAAAATGGGGTTGGCATCAGCTGTGACACACATCAGGAAGAGCACAGCAGCAGAAATAGGGATTTCCCAGCTCCCTCCCCGGGAGAGCAGTATCAGCACAGGGACAGAAAATGCTGATAGAACATCCTTTCCCACTGCTCCCTGTGCTCAGCTGGAGGTAGCATCCTTTAGCTTGTGCTCTTCAGTGGGTTTACCCATGGAAATACCTCAGAGGGACGCAGAAGATTTACTAGCACATTAAAAAGAAGCTGAAAACCCAGCAAGGATGACATTAGGGATAGGGACACAAGCAAATTCACACATCATATGACAGTTAAGTATGGCTGCTGTGAGTTTGCAGCATGGAGGACAGCTAGATTAAACTAGAAGAGATTCCAAAACTATTTGGCGTTAAAACTGCAGGTAAGGTTAATAACCCTCTCCAATTGAAAAAAAAAAGGAAATCTGCTCAGAACTCATTTGGATCACCATCCCTGCAGCCATTGCATAGCACAACTCCTTTTCCCCACCAAACTACAAAGGCTTTCCTGGAAATCTCTCATTTTCTGCTTCCTACCTGTAACAGTGCTCAAGTGACCTGTGTGATCTCTCTGAATGAACGGAGCTTTACCTTCACAGCAGCTCTGCTCTTCACTTCCCAGCCTCGTGCCCTTGGCAGTTTCCATCTGGCAGCGTTGGGCTGCTGAAGGAGAGGCTCTGTTCCAAACATGCCCACTTTGCAGCAGTACCCCATGAGGGGATGTTCTCCTGCCTGGACTAATCCCTTTGCTTCTCAGCTCCAGCTGCAGCCCACAGACCTGGCACTTGTTCAGGAGCCTTTGCCATGGCACGGCCCCACCCAGCTGATTCCCAGCCTGGCAGCACAGTGGGCACACATTCCCAGCCCTGGCCGTTGTTTCCATCCCACTGCAAGGAGCCCAGTTGTTCCCGAGTGTTCCTGCAGGAATCCAGGCCCAGGTGTCTGTGGGGTTTGCAGGGGCTCTCTTGGGGGTACCTGAGGGTGTCTGTGGGATTGGGGAGGGGGACCTGAGCTCTGGGGGTGTCTCTGGGGCTCCTGCTCTTTTCCCCTCATATTTCCATCCTTTTTCCTCTCATGCTAAGCACCCTTTTCTCCTCACCTTTCTAGAGCTTTCCTGCTTCTTAAACACGACCTTTACACCATTATGCCATCTCCATTTTTTCACTCTTCCCCCCTTTTCCTGCTGCCCTTTTCCCCCCATTTTAGCTGCCTTTTTCCCTGGTTTTTTTCTGTCCTTCCTTCCCTGTTTTTTGCTGCCTTTTTTCCCCAATTTTTGCCCATTTTTCCCCTCCATTTTTTTTTCTTCTGCCCTTTTTTCGCCACCTGTTTTTGAGACCTTTTTTCCCACCCCTTTTCTACCAACTTTTTTTCCACCATTTTTTTTGCTGCCCTTTTGTGCCTCTTTTTTTCCAGCCTTTGTAGCCCCTCGATATAAATCCCTCAATGGAATCAGTGGGGGTTTCTACCCATTTCAATGCTAAAAAAAAGGCACAACAGAGATTCCTTGTCAATTTAAAGATTATGAAAATTGAAGGTTTAATCTCATTTCAAACCTATAAAATCCCATCACAAAGGGTGTTCCGTGATCTATTTCAGCAAGAAAATGGGGATTCCCCATCCATTGATAGCCCTGAAATAATGGCCAAGGCAGGGTTCCTTTCCATTGATACCCTCAACATTGCAGGTGAATGGGGATTCCCCCAGTTGAAACACAGACTATAAGGGAAAATTAACCAGTTAAACAACTCCAGAATACACTTGGACAGAAATCCATTGAAAGGGAATCACACACCACTTCTCCTCCCTAATTAATTCCATCAGGCTTCCTTCACTAAAAACACTCTCAGAATTAAAAGTGGAGATGCCTGGTGTGTTACCTCAAAGCAGTGGAAGAGGCAGCATGGAAATGCTTCTTCTTCCATGGCAAACTCTCCTGGGAGCACTCCCAGAGCCTTGCAGGGCTCCCCTGGGAAGCTGCTGAACAAATGGAAAGAGTTGGGATGAGCAGAGCCCCAGAGAAATCCCAGCCCCACTGATGGAAAAGTCAGATTATCCAAGCAGCAACAGCAGCTGGAGTGTTTGCAAAAGAGCAGCTTTGTTCTGAACCTCAGCTTAGGAGTTCTGCTCATGCACTAAGAGAGCCCTTCCATCTATTTGGACCTTTTCTATAGCACAGGCCACACAGCAGTTCAATGTGATCATGTTCTTCAACTCAATTATGTTTCAAAGTATCTAAACTTGATCTAGCTACTCATCAGTAGAGAATTTTATGTATTTTCAGTGTAAATTAGCTTCCCTGGTCAAACACCAACCTTTCCCAAGGTTCAAGTACCTCTGTTTTCCACCACTAACTGCTCATTAGCCTTGTCTCAATTACAAACCCCCTGTTAACCCCATTTTTCCACCACAGATTTGTCTGAGTCTCTCACCTCTCAGCAGTCCAAATTGCTTGAAATGTAGCAGAACCTTCTTCACACTTCCCAGCTCTTGCTGTCCATCTCTAATCCCTGTCCAACCTGCCAGTGCTCTCCCTGAACTGCTGACAAAGGAAATTACACAACATCAGTGCAGGACAACTCATTCATTGCTGAATGAAAATGAAATAAAGAGAAATTAAGAAGCTGATTTGGACCCAGCAGGACTGCCCTGTTGGTGTCTGTGTATCAAGAATTTTTATGTATTTTGTATCAAATTTAACTTGTTGAAACCTAAGTTCCCATATTTAAAATAGATTTGTCATTCCAGATGAAAGCAACATGCTGCATGCCTTCCAGCCACATTTTCACTGAAAAAAAACCCCAAACTGCTCAGCCTGGGCTCCCATCATGCCAGCAGTAGCTGTATATCAACATTCAGCAATAATGGAATTCATTCAGAAAATGAACAATTACAAAAATACTTCCACTCCAAGAACTGATACTGCACTGAGGAAGTTATGCATACCTTCAAAAAATTCAGTAATCAAGATGTATTTCTGTTTTTATTGAAATAAATTTAAAAAATACTGCTGGCCAATATTTACACATTTGGTCCAATTACTCTTCCTGCAATGTGGTATTTCCCCACCTGCCCCTGAAGGCAGCAGCATTTTCAGAACAAGAACTGCTCCCCAGATATTGACCCCACTCAGCAATGGGTAAAAGGACATTTTAGAAATGTGGCAAATTGGATCACTGAATGAAAAAATGGAAGAGAGGTGTTGTAATAAAACAAAACCTCATTTGAGTCATGCATTCAACATCATTTCCCAGATTTCTGAAAATGTGCTAACATTGGGAAAATCTCATTTCCACCCAAGACAGTGTGCAAACAGAAGCTTCTGCAGGTAAATTCACTCTGCTGAAGTGACACAAAAATGAACAGAATGCTCCAAATTAAAACCTTTGGCCTCTTCTCCCACATCCTGCTTGTGTGTCTGTGCTCCATCTCCCCAGCAGCCATGTCTTGTGCAAAGGCTCTCCCTGCCTTGCTCAGCTGCCAGTGAGCTCTGTGCTCTCAGGTAAATTCACCCCCAGGCTCTGTAAATGTTCCAGCTGGGTCCTGCCAGGCCAGCCTGGGCACTGTGGGACTCGAGCAGCTTTGCCACCAGGTTCATGTCCACAGCCAGGGCTGCCAGCTCAGCAGCCTCAGCTCCACAATCAGGGCCAGCACTCTCACATGGGGCTGCTCCAACAGAACTTGCCTGCAGACAGTACAAAAAGAAAGCTTTATCAAATTGCATGAGCACATTTAAGGGGGAAAAAAAAGGGGCAAACCACAGGAGAAAAGAAACAGCAATTGTGCAGCCAAAAAAGTCCAGTACACTCCTGAGTCCTGACAAACAGGAATTCAGACACCAAATGCTCATGCCAGCTGAAAATCACCACTGTCCATTACCCAGATTAAATTCCAAGAGAAGGACACAAAGTGTTGCTGAGTCCTGGCTCAGCTTCCTATGGGAGAAAACTACTACAGGACCTTACAAGTGAAGCTGCAGCTTCTTGCCCTACTACTAAAAACAGGGAAATGGAACTAAGCCTTGGAAAAGATGGGCAAATTCCAAGCTTAGTTAAGCTTTAGTTTATAAAAAATGTATGATGGTGCAGGTCCAGCACACTTTGCTTGCACGTGGGAAGGTTCCAATCCCATTACTCAGAATGGCCACTTGCAGCACATTTCCTGCTTGGAAATTACTGCTGCAAATCAGAGCTCAAGGCACACTCACCCCTCTCTTGTGGCTGCTGAAACTTTTCCCAACGTTGCTCTGTGCCAGCTCACGGTCCATCTCCTTCATGTACGCCTTGAGACTGCCCACGAGCTCCTCAGGAGACACCTTCTGCTCCTGCCTTCCATTCCCAGCATCCAGCTCCCTCATCATCCTCAGCTGAGAAAGCAAACTCCTCCTCTTCATCCACATCATCACAATCCAGCTCCTCTGAGTCTGCCCCTGCACATGATGTTGTGTCAGTACAACAGCAAAGAAATCAGTGCTGGCATTTGTTTCAAAGAAAGAAGCAATCTCACCTAAAATTCTGTCCAGGGCTTTTGTAAAAGAATCCACATCAAAGGTAACATGGGATTCATCAGATGACCTGAAATCTAAAAATATTTTTAAAGAAATGAAGCTTCTATGCTTGCATAAGCCTGACACAGGCACAAGCCATACTGATTTCTCTCAAGCCAGGACCAAAGTTGGGACATTTGAATTTAAAAGTCCTCAGAAGTTTGAAGCCTGTGTGCATTAGACATCAAACAACCAGTGGAAGAATTCTTTGAATAAAGGAGAAAAATTGTGAAGACCACAAAATCCAACTGAGGAACAGAGACCAGCTCAGCTTGCAGCACTTGAACCTGCACCAGTGCCAGAGTGGCACCAAGCTGATTTAAAGCAAGTACAGCTTCACTGCTCTGGCTTTGCTTCAGGCCCTGCTCAGCACAGCACCTTCAAACTCTGATTCTCTGCATCACACAACCAAGCACAGGGCTGCAGCACAGTGCAACATTCCACACCAGAGCCACACTCCAGGGGCTACTACCATGGCATTTCTGCTCCTTCCTGCGTGGAGACTTTGGACACAAAAGCCTTCATGCTCTCAGCAACTGTTTCCAAGTCATACTTTTGCTCCTCCTCATTTGGGGAAGGAAGGGACTCATTTCTTGTCTCCCTCAGCATCTGATCCAGAGCACCTGGTGTAATATCCAGCCAGCTGTCATCTGAAAGAACACAGCACACATCTGTTACTCTGCACAAGCCTGCTGGCTCACAGGCCCCAACCAGCTGACTGACAGGACTGCAACCATCCTGCAGCTCAGCTCTGCAGCTCAGCTCTTGTGCTGGTCCTGGGTCACACACAGCAAAGCCAGAGAGAGGATGAGAAGAACTGAGTGCAGATTTCTTGTCACTACTTAAAAACTCTGCTTTGCAGAGCTCAAACTAAGAGAGACCATTCTAGTCACTGAGAAGCCTTGGGCCACTAAGTGGAGGAAGAAAGGCTTACTCTAAACTGGGAGAGCCAACCCAGTGTTTAGTCTTAAGGAAGGCTGGATTGGCTCTCCCTTCACAGCTGTCAGCATTGCCCCTCTACCCCCACAAATAATCATCTGTAATAGGAATAATTCCCCCATCCAGCTCACCATCCTCTGCAGGAAGACAAGCTGCTTCTCTCTCCAATTCCTTCACATCAATGGGGGTTGTCTGTAGTAGTGTCAGGATTTCATCACCTGGGCTCACTTCATCACAGCTAGAAGAAAAACATTGAATTTACTGAAATGGATTCAATGGGATCACATGCTCTGCATTCAGGTTTTCACTTGAATTCTTCCATTTTCCTTCTGTGCAAACACATCAAAAAGGGAAATTAATCTGGGGGAAGTACCAGAGCACTACACAGAGCATTGGCCAAAACAGGACACAGTCAGTCCCTGCAATTCCCAGCTGATGGCTCCAAAGCCCATTGGTCATGGCTCTTTTCCTTTACATTTCATTTGCCTTGGTAAATATTAAGATTACCTGATCCTAAACACCACAGACTGGAAACTCAAAAAAATAACAGTCAAGATATTATGGGCTGGCAAAGCCTCAGATATTTTTGCAGTGATTTACTTTTTGGATTTGATTATCCAGAGAAATCCACAGCCAGCTCCTTGAGCAAAGGAGATAGATTACCCTGTATTCATTATTCACTGGGACTGCTTTTCAATGAAACTTTTCTACACTTTCTACAGTCAACCAAGCAAAAATTGATTTGCAGTCACCACTTGGAATCCACTTGGAAGAGCTCAGCATTTCACATAACCAAGATAAAAGAGTTACTCAAGCCAGAACTTCTCCCAGTGGAGCATTCCAGAGGAATTAGTACTTGTATGTCCTGGCCACAGCTCCCATGTTCAATGTGCAGTGGAGAAAAGGGTTCAGGTGTTTGTAACAAGCATTTCAAAGGTCACTTACAGGATTTGTAGGATATATGACACTCATGAATTTCAAGTAGCTCTCACCTTTCTGGCACTGCAACAGATTGCTGGAAGTGATCTTCTGCCATGTGCAACAGTTCCAGGTACTTGGCTGATCCTTCCATTTCTCCCTGTTAAATGCAAGTCACAGGCATGAACCCAAACAATTCTCCCTCCCCTTCCTCTTCCCAGTCAGGCTTTCTAAGGGTGACTGTTGGTCACACAGGAATGCTGAGAGAACCAAAACAACTAAAACCTCTTGGCCATCTACACTTGGAACTCAATACTGCAAAGGGCATTCCTGTATTTGAAGTTTATTAAAGGATATGGAGCTAAGAATCTCAATAGTGTTGTCCAATTTGATAACCTTGAAACAAGTAGTCAATTTATGTCCCATTTATTAACATCAAAAAAGTAGTGAAAGGCATCTTAAAAAAAGAAACAAAAAAAAATAAACCAGACAACCTCACCAAAACCCCCAGAAGTCACAAAAACCACACACACATAAAAATTACACTTGCATGGGCCCAGATAGGTCGATGGTGTTATGTATGGATCTTGAAGAATATTGAATTCTAGAGGGGTGGAAATGAAATGTAAACCAGTGAAATCAGTCACACCTCACACAATCACATATGGGAGTTTTCTTCACTCAAGTGTATTTCTCCCCTTGCTTTAGATGAATGAATCAATCCCCACATCTTGCTTTTTCCTTTTTAATTTCCAAAATAAATTACTTTCAAAGGGAAACAAGCTGCACATGTCCCCTTTAAACACATTCGTTCATTTCACACAGAGATAAGGATTCAAGCTCCTCACACAAGTTCAAGGGTTAAAATGTATTTTCCCTGCAATGTTAAAAAGCCACAGACTCTGAAATACTCACAGACCTTGAAATAATCCTTCTCCTTCAAGCTCCTGAGGAATCTCTCCCACAGAGGACCGCTTAACACGTTTCTCTTGGCATCAGGAGCCACTTTACTGCTCTTGGAGCACAACATTTCAAAGCCATGAGCCTGCAGATAAAAGATGCAACAACAAGAGGTTCTCAAGGTGTGACAGACTTTGCTCACATTTCTCTGGACAAGCAGGCAACCTCCAGACAAGGACCCATTCCCTGGGCATGCATGAGCCAAGGCCAAAATGCCCCAGCAATCATTACCAGCTTCATGCCCAGCTCGCAGGCTCCGTACTGAGGATGAGCTGGGGCGGGCAGGGTGTATCCACTGCGTCTGTCTGGAACAAACTGCTGCTGCACCAGCTGTGCATATAAACACCGAGTGAAAGTCACCTGCAACAGCCACAGCAGAAACAAACACTCCCTGCAGCGCGACTGGGCTGGGGACAGCCAGCAAACTCCCTCCAGGTCACCAGACTGGCTTTGGAGGCACCCATATTACAGGCAGTGCCTGAGACTGCATTCAAAATACATCATAGAAAGATTTTTCTGATAAATTGCTTTTCAGGCTATACAATGTTTGTTCCAAACTGAAATCCCCAAGCAAATATAAACTTTTGTCATTCTAAATACATTAGGAAAAATCCTTAATATTCTGGAAAATCCCCATTTGAACTGCAACACGTTTCATCAAATACATCTTGTTTCCTTAACAACAAAAAAACCACGTTTCTTTTCAACTAGAGAAGTGCTTTAGGAGAACCAGGATATCCTAACTGCTTCAGAACATCACAGGAACTAAAAAGCAGCATTTCAGGTATCACATGCGACCTCTGCTGGTTCCTGATGCTAAGAAAAGCCCTGAATGCAACCTTCTCAACTCCCTCACTCTGTCTGTTCCCTCAAACAAAAGGAAAGTATGAGCCTGACAGTCCAGGTACTCACTTGCAATCTATTTTGGTCTTCTGTTCCAGCCCTTGTAAGAATCTTGGAGTAGGGGAAAATAATTAAACAATTTTTTGCTAATGACCAAATAAATTATGTCCATTTTAATTCATTCCATTAGCAGCCATCCATATTCGTGTGAAGGTGTCTGCTCATTATTTCACCTGGACCAGACAAAGCCTGTGTCCTTACAGAAACAGCAACACTCCAGCCCTGAGCATTCCCTACCCTCAGGGACACTTCTGAATCCATGTCTGCTGGGGTTTTTTTAATATTCATAAACTCATAGAAAGGCTTAGGTTAGAAGGGACCTTAAAGATCAACACCTCCTTCCAACACCCTTGCCACAGCCAGGCACACCTTCCACTAGCCCAGGCTGCTCCAAGCCCCATCCAACCTGCCCTTGGACACTTCCAACGTGTCTGGGATGGGGAAACACCTCCAAGGATGGGCAATGCTAAGACAGGACCTTCAGAGCACAGGCACTGCCCCTTGGCAGCCCTCCCACTAAAGCAGCTCAGCAGCACCCACCTTACCTGGCTGCCAGCCCCGCGAACTCCCTGCTCATCTCCCGCAGCAGCTACACAATGAACCACTCATCCTCCACCTTATCCCCGAACACCGCGGTGCCGCCCAAGTGCGCCGGGATCTCGCCTGCACGGGGCACAGACAGGAGAGGCGGCTCAGCAACGCCGTGCCCAGCAACAGATTGTCCACACGGGCTGCGGAGTCTCCCTCACTGCGGATATCCCAGACCCTGCTGACACAATCTTGTGTCCTGTGCTCGGGGATGGCCCCGCTGCACCAGGGAGGTGGCACCAGATGCCTCACCGGGCTAACCCGTGCTGTGACACCGAGAGTCGGGGAAGCCGCCGGGTCCCCCTCACACGCTCCTGGTTTCTGGCCCCCGAGACCCCCTCACACGGCCCAGTTGTCCTCACACACTGCCTGTTCCCGGCTGCCGGAGTCTCCTCAAAAGATCCCGGTTCTCAACCGCCGGGTGCCCCTCAAACTCTCCCGGTTCCCGGCCGCCAGATTGCCGTCAAACTATCCCGGTTTCCCCTCACACGCCCTCAGTTCCCGGCCACCGGGTCGTCCTCACAGGGCTCAACTCCCCCTCACACGCTGCCGGTTCCCTGCCGCCAGATTTTCCTCAGAAGATCCAGGTTCTCGGCCGCCAGGTGTCCTTCACACTCTCCCGCCTCCTCCTCACAAGCTCCCGGTTCCCGGCCGCCGGATCCCCTTCAAACGATCTCCCCCCCGGTTCCCTCTCAGACGCTCCTCGGATTCCGGCCGCCGGGTTCCCCTCACACCCCTCCGGTTTCCCCTCACACTCCCGGTTCCTGGCCGCCTGATTCCCTTAACACGCTCCCGGGTTCCCCCTCACAGGCTACTCGATTCCGGGCGCCGGGTTCCCCTTCTACCCCCCCGCTTTTCCCTCACACGCTCCCGGATCCCCCTCACACTCTCCCGGTTCCCGGCCACCGGTTCCCCCTCACTGGCTCCCGGTTCCCGGCCGCCGGGTGCCCCTCCCAGTCCCTCCGCTCCGGGCGCTCCTCCCGCCGCGCCTCCCGGCCCGCTCCCGGCTCACCGCGGCCCGGCACGTAGCGCAGGCGGAACGGCTGCCGCTGCCACACGCAGGCGGCCAGGAGCGGGGCCAAGCGCACCAGGGCCAGCTCAGCGCAGCGCCGCAGCAGCGCCTCGCCGCCCGGGCCCGCCGCCGCCGCGAACAGGCGGGAGCGCACCGCGTCCTCGGGCAGCGCCGGCCGCCGCAGCGCCTCCATCCCGCCGGGGCCCAAAGCGCTCCGCCCCCGGGCAGAAGCGGCGCGATGGCGGCGGCGGGGCGGCGGCGCTGAGGGTGATATCGCGATACGCGCGGAAACCGCTGCAGCCGTGAGTGGCTGCCGCTGCCCCGGTGCCCGGCGCGGCCCCGAGCCCCAGCGTGGTCCCGGTCGTGATCCCCCGGCCCCGCTCCCGGGCCTGCCGCCCGCGCTGCCCCCAGCACCGAGCAGGGCCCCGGGACGGCCCGGTCACCCCCTGTCCCCGACGGGAGATGGTTCCCGCCATTCCTGAGCACCGGTGTGACGGAACGCAATTAAATCCCTGTAACCGGCTCTTATCCCCTGACTCGAGAGTTGGGTCAGTTCTGACTTACTCGGCTCGTTTACTCTTGTTCTATTTAATGTATTCCAATTTAATTAATCTACGGGGATAGTGACGTCATCTCTGCTTTTAGGGAGCTGTACCTCAATTCGCAGCATCTTAGGTTTAAATTTAATTGATTTTGATCCAGCTGTCCTATAGGTATAGGGTCAAATTGCCAAGGCCAAGGGACTTGAATATAGTTTTGAGGCAGAAAATATCTGGGTTTCTTGCCAGTTTTCTGACCAGGTAGAGCCAGGGCCTGTCTAGATCCCAGACCCTCATTGGGAGGGTCTCCCTCACATACCTCAAAAACAAATCTCTCAAGAATAGCAGCTATGAGATGCCCCAACACAGCAAACTGCTGGAGTGCTCCTGTGAGAATAACTGGGGCTGTGTGTGATTCCCACAGAGCAGGAGCAGCCTTGCCCTCAGCAGGTCACAGCCCTGTCCCATGAGGATGTGTCACAAAAGGGTCAGGAAAGACCACAGGACCTCAGTTCAGATGAGGCGTTTGACCGAGCCCAGAGATCTCATCCTGGAACTCTGAAAACACAGGAAAATCATGAGACAGCCCTGGGTGAAGGCACAGCAACTCTGCTGGAACAAGAGAAGGGACTGAAGGCTGAGCAGGCAGTGCAGGGAACGGCTGCAGACAGCCTGTTCAAAGAGATGCAGCTGCAGCTGCAGAACAAAACAGAGAGATCCCAAAGTGACACCATGTCTTGTAGATAGTCACACAAAGATATGTCAAAGTTAATGAAATGCTAGCTATAAATAAGGTAATGGTGTCTTATGAATAATGCCTGTTATAAAAATGAGTGAATTCATATGATGGAACCAATCTATCAGCAGTGACTGTCTCAGGAATTGGAGACAATATTCTTCCAGCATTCCTGTATCCATAGCAATGAAACACTGAACAGCTTACAATGGATAACAGCCATAATGTGGAACAACCACCCACTCTCCTGTGTTATCTGTGGAAGATAAACCAGAAGAGATAACAATCAATGATCCTGTCAGGAAGTGCAGCACTGACACCTGTGCAACCTGTGAGAGGATCAAGGGCCCAACAAACTGTATCTTCTTCTATCCAAAGGCAGGTGTTTATCAGTGTTTCATCACAGCTGTTTCAGTGCGATCTGTCTTATCTCTAGAAGGAAAGAACCACATCTTGCAATGTGAACAAAAATATTTAAACAAAATTAACTTAGGGCCTAAAATTAATTGCAATGTAATTCAATGTCACCGCAGTGGCATTAGAGGTACACTTAAGAGAATTTAGGTTACATCTATAATACCGAATAAAAGCTCATTTTAATAAAACTGGAATAGAACATGGAATGGCTTAAAATGAAGGAGACTGAAACTTGATCTCATCCAAACTCAGCAACACTCAAACCTGATGGCAATCCACCTCAACATAAATGACTCTTAACAAAATTAACTCAATAGAGTTAAAACATAGTTTAACATTACTCAGACATAGCTTTGCCTAATCTTACCAACACTAAAATCAAATTCAAATAAAACAGACCTGAAGTAACAGTCAATATCCTTAAAAGTTCTGGGTACTACAATGTGTAACTTAGTCTGATGCTATTAATATCAAAAGGTGCTGAAAATGTGAACCAAACATGGCTGAAATAGTGGCCTGATGGATTTACTGTAGGGACTAGAAAAGTGTGACAAATACTTTGACCCTATGTAGTTTAAGATCGAGGAAAACTCATGGTAGCCGCAAATTTTAAGGAATCATATTTTTAGTAAGACTTTTTAAAGTGGAATTGTACCGAAAGAAACAACAATGTAGAATTTGAAAAGTGTGCAACAAACCATGAACTTCTCGGGATTGTAGTTAGTGTAATAGCATATGGTAAGTGTTATCAGTATTTCTGTTAAAGAAATTCGATTGTGTTGTGCTGGACATGATAATAATAACGAGGCACTGCATTTACCGCTTTGAATATCTCCAGTAACAATTGTCAGAGAAATCAGAATTCAGGAAAAATTCAAGATTAACTTTAAAAAACCATTTCAACACATTTTTAAGGCATTCTAGAACACGATCTATGAGGCTTCAGTACCCAGGGCAGTCAGAGCCCTTCGGCAAATGCCGGGGGTTCGCCCCGCCGCAGGGCTGGGGAGCCACGGGGGGCAGTGAGTTCGCCCGGGGCCAAGCGGAGGCGCCGGGCAAAGCCGAGCCTCGGGAGGGGGGAAAGCGCCGGCGGCAGCGAGGGAAAAGCCGAGCGGGGACCTAGCGTGGGCTCAGGATGATGCGGGGCAGTCCCCGGATTTTCCAATGCGCTCAGCCGAGCCAAAGTGTTCAGGTCCCCATATCCGGGTCATTAGCGACGGGAGGCGCCAGAAAGGTGAAGGAACCGATCCTGGAAAATGCAGCGGGGAGCGCTGGGGAGAGGGGCCGGGGCGGGGTCGGGGAGCAAAACGGCCGCGCCACGATTGGCCGCGATCCCCCCCCTCATCTGATTGATCAAATCGGTCCAAATCTGCGGCGGCACCGGCCGTATCCGCTGTGTCTGGCCGGGATGGGAGCGGTGGCGGCACCCGGAGCCCGGCGAGGCGGCGGCGGAGCTCGGAGGCGGCTCCAGCCCAGGTGGGACCGCGGTCGGTGCTGCCCCAGCTCGGGGCTCGCTGCGGGCGGAGGGGGCCGCGGTGAGGGCCGAGGGATTCTGGCGAGTTCCTGGTGCCGGCTTCCCCCGTGTCCCCCTGCGCTGGGATCGACAAGGGAGCGGCTGCCCGCGCTCTCCTCCTTGCCCGGATGGCCGGGATGGAGCCGGTGCCGCGGCAGCGATGGCTCATCGCGGCTGCTCTCGCTAGGACGGAGGCGGCTGCTCCGTGCCCAGGACCGTTCCCGGCCGTGCGGCACCGGGCTCGGGGCCGCTGCTCGGGCGGGAGGTGTCCGTGCCCAGCTCGGGGCTGGCACGGCATGAACTTGAACGTGCCTCAGAGCCCCAAGCGCTGCAGGCGCCGAGTGCGGGCACAAAGCGGCGCATCCTGCCTGCTCCGGGACCGAGGCTTCTCGGCGCTGCCCTCTGTGCCGGGAGCCGCTCCGTGTGCCCAGGCAGGGAGCCGCAGCGGCCGTGCAGGCGCTCGGTGTGGCCGGGCTCCGAGGCGCCGGGGCAGGGAATCATGCGGGGCACAATGGTGAGCAGCCCGGGGCTGCTGCTTCTTGCCCCTCGGCAGGCGGACTCCGAGCCGCAGCTGCCCCGGGCCAGCAGCAGCCGGCAGCTCGCAGGCGCTCTCAGCGCCCGGCCCGGCACGGAGCTGGGCTGCAGCGGCTGCAGAGCCACAGGGGCCGGGGCTGCGGCCACCGCAGAGCTCCCGGAGGCTGCGCTTGTCTCCGCACCTGCTGCCGCACCTCTGGGCAGCGCCGACAGCGCAGCCACAGCTGCCACCGCCCTCCTGAGCCCCCGCACGGCCGGCACCAGCAGCGACCTCTCACCGTGTCCCTTTCAGGGTGCCATCAGCGCGGCTGGAAAGCTGTTCCCGAGGCCGAGCTCCCAAAGACTCTGCCAGCAGCACTCCTGATGTGTCCGAAGCAACGTGCTGATTGTTTTGGGCAGAGAGATGTCGGCTGTGAGCAGGAGAAGAGTGAATTCTGCTCCATTTGTGGAGTTGCGAATGAGCCCCAGCATCCCCAGGAGGGACCAGCAGTTCCACACTTGCCTGGGGCCCAAGAAGCTTCTTGGCATAAGGAGGAGGATGCCACTTGTGAGCGTGCAGTGAGTGCAGATGTGGAGTGTGGATTCTGCACCAGGGATGGGAGTGTGAGGGAGCCCCTGGCTCCCCAGGGCACACCAGCAACCAACAATGAACACAAAAGGAACCTCAGAAGATTCCTGGGTGAGTGCAGGGCCACCCCTGTGGCCTCTAGGCAGGGGCCCGTGTCCCCTCCCAAGGCCAGGTCTGGCAGGTGTGTGGCTGTTTCCCAATGTCTGGAAGAGGCCTCGTGCTCTGCTGGGCCCCAGTGGCTGGAAGCAAGAGCCCCAGCTGCCCCCAAGGCTGTGCAGTTCTCCTGCTGCAGCCTGTCCCCACAGCTGTGTGCCTGCCTGTCCCCACAGCTGTGTCCCTGCCTGTGGCCAGGCTCTGGGCTCTCTGGCTGCCAGCTGAGGGAGGGTCACACTGGCTCAGGGCTCCCTGCTCTGCTCCCTGGCCATGGGCTGAGCAGATTGCAGGGCCGGCTCTGCTTCTGGCAGCCAGCAGCTCTTTCCTGCTCCAGGTGAATGGTTCAGGTGCCATCCCGTGGGCACAGCGGTGCTGATTCTGCTGCTCCTGGTGCTGGCTTTGGGGGTGGCCTTGGCTGTGCTGGCAGGTAAGGGAGGGGCAGCAGCCTGGGCCCAGCCCCTCGGGGCAGAGTGGGCTCCCTGCTCCCTGCACAGGGGAATCCTCAGACCTTCTCCTCTTCCCCCTGCAGCACCACAGCTTCCAGTCACACCTGCGACTCCACAGTGTGTTCTGGGCTGTCCCCATAGCTGGGTTGGGCACAAGGGGGTCTGCTACTACTTCTCAAGGGACTACAGCACGTGGGAGCAGGGTCAGAAACGGTGCTCCGAGCTCAATGCCTCCCTGGCCATTGCCAAGGATGAGGAGGCCATGGTGAGTGAGGGGCTGCGGGCGC